TCTCTCTCTTACTATTTCTTTCTCTCTCTTTCTTTACTTCTTTCTCTTTTAGTCTCTCTCTCTCTCTTTCCCACTCTCCATCAGAGTTAGGCTTTTATGATGAGTTGCATTTTCATCACTCTTGGTTTTTAAAAATACCTCAGCTCAAGGATTGCTAATCTTCTGCTGCTCAAGAAATTAAAGCAGTGAGTGGGTGGGGGATCATTTTTAACTCGGCCCTGACTCTGCTACTTAACTAGAGAGAGCGAGAGAGCGCGCCTATCATCTCATTTTCCATGACACGGCATCAGCCTGCTGCCCAAATCCTTGCTTATAAAAACATTGGGAGATCAAAGGTGTGTTCGGGGGAAGATCAGCCAAAATATATTTCTTTATTGACACAAGGAGCTTCCCTTCTGCTGCTCCCAACAGTTGCTTATTTGTAATATGTCCCCATCTCTTTGTTCAAACGACTCCAACAGGTCTAAATCCACCCCACCCTGGAATAATGTTGCTTCATGGCCCACCCCAGTTCAGCTTTCCAAAACACGAAGCTTGTTTTCATTAGCAATCGTTAGCAAGCAGCGGTGGAACACAGGTAGTCCTCAAGTTACGGCCACGGTTGAGCCTAGAATCCCTTGTTGCCAAGCGACCGTGGTTAAGTGAGTTTTGCTTCATTGTACGGCCTTTCTTGTTGTTAAGTGAAATCACTGCAACTTGTTCAGTCGGGAACACGGTCGTGAAAGGAATCTGGCTTCCCCATGGACGCCACCGTCATAAATATGAATCGGTTGCTAAGTGTTTGATCATGTGGAACGGGGAGGCTGCAATGGTCGTAAGTGTGAAAAATGGTCATAAGTGACATTGGAGCATAAGTCACTTTTTTTTCAATGCTGTTATAAATTCGAACGGTCACTAAATGAACTGTTGTAAGTCGAGGACTCGCTGTATCGCAGCTGGTGAAAGTGGCTTCCTTCAACCAGTATTTTTTGGTATTATTTCTCTGGACGAATGGCAGATGATTCCAAAATTGGCTTCATTTTTCACTTTTTGAAATGTCTTTCAATCTGGCTGGCTTTTTATAGGGATGGCTTAAATTCTTTAAAAATAATAATTAAAAAAACCCCATAAAATATCGCATCAAAAATACTGGCCTTTCTTTCTTTCTTTCTTTCTTTCTTTCTTTCTTTCTTTCTTTCTTTCTT